ACTGGGAGACCGGACTTCTGGGTCCCTCGGCGGGGTCTTGGCCTGCAGTCTCGGCCGGCCGGTTGCCAGTAAGAGGTACATTCGCTGTCACAACCTGGAGGTGCAATCAAGGGGATGTTTTCATTGTGACATTTCTCCCTGTCCCTTTTAAAATCGGAGGGCGAAAATCCCCAAATAAACAAAACCTTTCCAGATCTGTGGAAGACGAAAGTCGGTTTTAGTTGCAATAGACTCTTCAGCGTTCTTTCTTCGCTTGTAGATCCATCTCATTGTAGTTTGTGGTTGCCGTTGTGGGGCCCCGGGACCCCATCCGTCTTTAGCCTGCCAATTGAAAGTATCACACAGGTGCACACCCTTGTGCCTCCGTATTCCTTCGTGCATCTACCCCCACCCAGCTTTTTGTAATGATGGCATGCATGCATAACTTCGAAAGATGAACTTAAACATTACCTTCTTCCAGTTTTTGTTCCTGGGTAGCTGCAGTCTAGGAAGTGGTTGCAGCCGAGTGTCATTTTACAAGTTAGAGGCCGGCATCCAGATTTGCAGACGCAGTTTTTGTTGTTGTTGTTTATTTTTGTCAACAGGACGAATTGGATGAAGAGTTGACTAGAAGCCAGGCCTGCTGTTCTCATTCTTCTAAGTTTTAATGCTAGGCAGATGTTGTTGACATGTATTTATAAACACATCTGCCTAATGTGTTGTCTTCCAACTAGAGAGGAGACAGCCAACTTATCTAATCGCTCATAGTTGGCGGAACGCAGCCAATCATGCACACTGCTTCTGGTCTGTCCGTGTACTCTAGGGAATAAGCTGTCAAATTTCAACGCCGTTTTAATCGTGCCTTTAAACTCCTGTATTTGACATACACCCCAGAGGAAGCTTTAAAAATACGTTCTGACTCTGACTTAGGCACCGTGGTGACCTTTAGACTGTACTCCCCACGGCTTGAAATACAGGTTTTACCCCCACTAGCAGTGTTCTCGAGAAGCTTTGCATTCTTGGAAATGGCAAAAAAGCAGAGATGCAATTGCCATTGGTTAATACGGGGAAGCATTCTGAGCATTCCCAGACCCCCCAAATCACCTACTAAATCCTTCCAGATAACATATAAAACCTGAAATCACACGAATATAGGGTAAAAGCCCGAAGTACATGATAACGATAAAACCAGCCTATACGAAGTAGAACTAACCAATGAGCAGTGTAGTTCTAGGAGAAACAGCATGGTGGCACCACGCTCACTGCTGGGACACCCTGCCTCTGTAATGGTTCCCTTACAAAACAAATGCTAAATGTACTTTTTTTCATAAACACAAACATTCTCTT